TATATAAATATCTAGTCCACATGCCCATGTATTTTCCTCAGCAAAAATTCAAAAAATGCCATTAGTCGTATTTTATCCACATCATCTAATTCGCAATTCTGATAACAATAAGAACAAGAGATGAATAATTGGTCCACGACAGGTGAAAGCTCTAAGAAATTTTCTCAAAAGTTCGAAGGTTTGAAGGTCATGGCAGGCAAAAGCTCTAGGAAAAATTTGACTGAGGAGTTGGACGAGGCTTGGACATCGGGAGTGATAAGGACAGGCCCCCCACCGGGTTGGTCAAGGACGACTAGCCCACTTATCACACCTTAGGAGACGTTGCCAGTACCCCCATACAGTGCTGACCCCAGTGTCAAACGCATTAGGTGGACCTCCAGCGAGGAAAGGCCGATGGTCGTCTAAAAATAGACAGATGTTCAGGAGGTACAGGAGCATGTAGTGGCTTAGGGTACCAAGGTGTAGCAGCAGAAGAATCCAGCGGTCAACCAACCTTAGTAACAAATAGAGGGGAGATAATTAAATCCTCAGAAACAGGAAGAACCCAGGGGAGATTAGGTTATCCAACTAACAAGGGCAGAGCTAGACAGAATCGTGGTCGAGGAGGTAGCTTGAGATCAGGCGCCGGGTCAGCCTAATCCTGTTGGGCCACCGCTGTTGCCTCATAAAAGACTAGAGGAGATGGAGGTGAGGTCAACATCCTCGCCTCCTACCATATCACGACTAGCTTGGGACGCTACACTCGAGAGGTTGGCAACCCAACTGCGAGAGCGACAGGCTCGGGTTGAAGGTACGGTAGTACTTCGAATCCATGTCCACTCGTTTGCTGAAGAGGTCCTGAAAGCAAATTTTCCTAACAATTTTTGCAAGCTGAATTTATTCTGCTATGGTTCAGCGGAGCCAAATAGGCATCTGAGGTCGCTCGAGAACATAGAGGTTCTCCACAGATACATTGATGCACCTTGTTGTAGGGCTTTTCTTACCACACTGAAGGGGTCAACGTAGGACTGGTTTCACCAGTTGTCGGTCGGGTCGATATATAATTTTGAGAGATTCAGCTCTCAGTTTATTAATCAATTCTCAAGCGCGAGGAAGCACGAGAAGACCTACCTGGTGCTGAACAGTATGCAATAGAGAGAGGAGCAGACTATCCGCAAGTATGTAGCTCGTTCTACCAGGGAGTGCCTGGAGGTCTCCTCAACTTTTTGAGGAGATTAAGGCAGGTGGTCTTACCAGAGGTCTCAGACAGTACCATGTAGAAACTAATTAGCAAATAGGTCAGCCAGGTCTTTTGTCGAGTTACTGACCAAGTGAAACAAGTACATTAGCATGGAAGAGGTCGAGGTAGATTTTCTACAAAACAATAAAACCAAGGTTAAGCGAGCAGAGGAGAATCCTCACTCAGGTGACAAGAGGTTTCCAAAAAAATAAACGAGTTCGAAGAAACGCGGCAAGACAGGGTACAAGTACGGGCAGTATGCACCCTTAGCTGTGCTCCAAATTGAGGTGTTCGAGGTCCTCAAAAGGCATGGTGACACGAGAATTCTCTCCTTACTTAACCCTATCCTGAAAAGGAGGGGGTATGTGCACTCACGAGATGATCCAGGTTGCAGATATCACAGGGATTATTGGCATTCGACCAACAGTTGAATGGAGTTAAAAGACGAGATCAAGTGGCTCATCCGAGATGAGCATCTAAAAGAGTTTGCTGAAGGACAAGGAGAAAAGGGACGATCGTGAGGTCGTGGAAGAAAATAGACGATCTGACGAGACTGGTGATAGGCTTCCCAAGTGGGGCGTAATCTAGATGATCGCGGGAGGCCCCACTGGCGAGGACTCCGACAATGAAAGGAAAAGGACGCATCGTGGCAACGATATTGCCAAAGAAGTCACATAAGTATAAATTCAGCAGCTCGAGGGGATCTTAAGTTTAGAGTGTAAGACGTGCAGTGTATATCTACCTTTCACAACGACGCCTTGGTCATCACTGTTGAGGTCACAAGATACAACGTGCAAATGGTGTTCATTGATACCGTAGCTCTGTCAATATCATTTTCCTACAGTGTCTAAGGCAGATGGACCTAGACGTGAAGATTGAGCCAATTCATATAGCCTGTTATGAGTTTAACGAGAATGAGGTTGTGCCGATAGGCGAGGTGAATCTGCAGTGCTGGAAAGGGCAGATGGACAGCTTTCTTAATGGTAGATTGTTGATGTATATGCTGAAAGTTAGGCTTTGGATGATATTTACACTTATTTCTGTTGAATGAGAATCGTGTTTGATTAAATAAGTTCTATGTTATGTTGTTTTGCACTTAGATAAAATAGTTCATTAGCGGGTGAACAGAAAATTATTTTATCAGTAATTGCGAAACAAGAATGATTGGTTCACAACCTAGATGGAAATGAACAAACCATCAGAACAGTTGTAGTGTCAATCGTACAGTTGATCTTGACTGATTAGTTGCACTAGTACATTTATGTATTGAATAGGATCCCAGGGAGGAGCAAACTAGGCCTTAGTTAATTATTACGTTCTCTTAACCCGTAAACTACAAACAGTCATGTGCATGCAGTAGCTATTACGTACTTTGATTCACAAAAGCGAGATCCATTCTGTTTGGTCAATAGTTTTCGTGTTTTGGTTAATAGTGTTGCATGTATGATGTGTTGTTAAATTATTTACGGTTATCATGTGGGTTAGTTTGATGATGTCCCCTAATTGAGCTCGTAAAAGATTATTATGTTAATCCCTGCAGGTGGATTAAGTTCTAACATAATAAAAGATTTGAGTGGTGCTAGCTTCAGTTCAAGATGTCAATTAATTATTGATTTTCAGTAATCTGATTAACTGAATGCACATAATATCCTAAACGTGGGATGTAATTCAAGTAATTGTTATTGGAGTCTCGAATATAATTCGGAGATGATAAAGGATTACAATAGTGTTTCGTTAGTGGACCAAAACATTATTTAAGTTAATAGACCAAGTGGGCTTAGCCCACAGTTGGGCCGAATGACATAAAAAGCCCAATGAATGGAAGTTCAGCCGTCTTGAGAATCGATTTTTTGGAACCTCTTGGAGCTTCTTTTTGACGACCTTACGCTCGGGTGTTTGAATTGAGATGTTTGACGAGATCGGGAGCGATTTAATCTTGCTTCGTCTCCACTGTTGACATATTTGGCCTCATTTTTTCTTCTCTTGGCCATTGAAGATTTGGGGAATGAGAAGAAGATTTTTGTGTGTTTAGGGAAGATAGAGTTTTTCTGCTTCTTGTGCAGAAGTTGCACGGGAGCGAGATATGGAGAGCGAAAAGCAAAAAAAATTTCTTGTTTTACGGTTGCATGTGGAAGGAATACTGATTATCTCTCTTCCCGATAATTATGTAAAAAAGTAACCCTCATTACTTGTGTGTTTAGTGCACCCACAATGCGTTGGGTTTCTTATAAAAATATCATATGTCATGTAGGAAATAGACTTAGTCTATAAGAAAATGTCTCCCAATGCAATTAAAAATGGACATGGTCTATCTTATTTGGTAATAAAAAAAAATAGATCAAGTCCACTCTTGAGAGTATTTTGGACCCAAGTACAAACTTAAACAATCAGCATTTATTCCTAATTTAATTTTTCTTTTAATATATAGGTATACATATATAGTATTTTTATTGGATGGCAGATATTCTAGACCTAGTATTTTATTTTTTCACTGAATAACTTTTGGATTTTATTTACTTCGGTTTGTCCATGTCATTTAAGACTTAAATCAAATTATATGTCACATGTGTAAAATTGGACCCAATGCATCGTGTGTGCTCTTAGTGGGTGTAAAAACTGAATATAAAACTTACCTTACTTAAATACAATAAAATGCTGATTATTAACTGATAATCTTGAAAGAAAAAAAAAAAAAACCCCATTTGAATATAAAACTTTCTTGAATTAAGAAAAAAAATCGTATTTATGATTATAAGGTCTTCACTTCGTATTATTAATGTTATTTAACAAAGCAATAGTAACGTGAGTAAATTTCTCATATAAATTTTGAATTATGAGATAATATCTATCTTTGGCATGAAATTTTATTTTTAATTTGTTGAAATTGTATTTCACGATATGTGAATAGATATCATAAAACAATTTAGGTATTTACTAACATGTTTTCTAAGACCATCTCCAGCCCTTATCTCTATTTTAGCGCGGACTTTACTCTACTATAGAGTAGAGTGAAGCAAAAATCAAGTTTCGTCTCCAGCCTTTATCTCTACATTTTACTCTACATCAAATATATTATTTTTTTATTCTTTTTTATTTCAAATGAATTGGTATATATATATATATGTATGTATGTATGTATATTTAATCTTATAATAAATATTTATTACCAAAAAATAAAAATATATTTTATTTGTGTATTTTTTGATTTACGAGTGTTGTAAACTTTTGATTTTGATGAAATCTACTTGTTTAATTGTGTTAAATTTTTATTCATATGGTACCATTTTAATATTAAAAAAATACAAAATAAAGTTATAATACATCAATAAATAAAAAATATAAAATTATTTAGCATAAAAATACATTGCACAAAGTTATTCAACATAAAAATATATTTACTAATACACATTATACAAAAATTTATCATTAATATTACATTAAAATACATAAAAAAATTTTAAAAAAAATGTAAAGTTGCTACAGGGAATCTCCACATGTTGAGATACACTGTTTATAACTTCATTCTGGAGCAGAGAAATAGCGCAGGATTGGAGAATATTATCTGCACAACTCCAACGAAAAAGGGTAATCTAGCGCTGCAGTGGAGTTGGCCTAATATTAGTGTTTTTTTTTTTTTTTTTTAAAAAAAAAAAGATTATCTCACACTTCTTTCAAGAATCGTATAGAATATTTTAGATATTAATTCTACTCATATTATATAACAGAGTGTTTTCAATGTCTAGTTTTACGTACTTTTGCACAAAGTAATTTTCATATAGGATTTTCAATAAGTTAAATTTAGGTAAATTGTATAACTCCACATTTTTAACATATATATACTAATTTGTACTAGATATAAAAATAGATCTAAATTATTGTGGAATAACACTGATAATCAATTTAGGTAGGATACGTAGTCCCAAGAGTAAATGGAAGTTAGTTGATGTTCTAAATAACACAGTATATGGAGTCTAAAACCACCGAACTGAGTTCCAGGTAGCCAAAGTCCTGCTTGAGACAATTCTGATTTTCCTAGTAGATATTATTTGAAATGAGGACATATAAGCTATTCGATCCCAAGCATGGGGATATCATTCACTGGCACTGCGCTCGGAAGCTGTAATCAACAAATAAAAAGGATTGAATTAATTTTACAAGGTAACAAGAAAAACAATAAGCAAAAACAGAAATCCCAGTAGCAAAATGCTGAATCATATATACTAGAGAAAGAGTTCAATATTTTTAAATAAAGCAGAACATTCAATACTAAAGTTTGTTGTATACCACATTTTGGGGGATCCGATATGAAAAATAACCTCGGAAGTTAGTCTAGTTTACACACACACTCAAAAGAAAAGAAAGGTATCTTTCTAGATTGCATATATCCCTTATATTTGCTTCTAGTTTACAATCAACCTTAACAGGGACATTCGATAAGGATATACAAACCTAAGTGGGAGGGTATCGTGCATATTAAGGAAGATATTTCTAGCCATAGAGTTCTTTTTCTAGTATTCACATTGAACCCTAGGGCAAGTGGTAACTTTGCCTATTAGAAAAGAATAATAATAACATATCAGCACTAGAACACAATATGATTCATTATCTATTCCATTACAAATCTGAAGTGAGTTCCCATTTTCTACTCAACATATAGATTTGTCGAAAGAGGTAGTACATCGATCTTGGAATGAAGTCTTAACTTTTATAATGTTACTAGCAAGCCTGTCGAAACATTGAGCAATATGCAAAAAGGCAAGTGAAACCATCAAACATTTTCAAACCGGTGCTTCTGATTTAGGAGTTCCTTCAGTATTTTTTTGAATAAAAAGACATTTGGTACCAACCTAGTGATGAGAGTGTTCTTATCATTTTACTCATAAGCTCATTTAGAACCTTGTAAAAAACACTTCAACCTTTTCAACTTCTAGCTTCGATTTGCCAATGCTACCCACTTTGATTATAACTGTTTTAGCATATACTACAAAAAATCATTCCAACAAGTATAGAACCACTAGTAAACAAGCAGCACTATGAAGCTAAAATTTACACAAGTCAGCGAAATCAAGAATCATGTACCTCTTGTCATGACATGAATCCATACACAAACAAGTAACTCACACTCCATATTTTTGTTCCTTCTCTAGATTCCAAAGAATCATTGGCAACTTACCAATAAAAGTGTAGCCATAACAGGTAAAACCACCTTTCTGCAAAAAGCATTCCGTTGCACAAGCCCCCACTCTTAATTCAAACAAATATGAAAAGATCTTTTCTTGAATCTATTGATAATCTACAATTTGGGGAGTCACTGAATATAATTATTCTCGTCGGTTCAAATCCCAATATTCTTTTCAATTCTTCATTATCTAAAAACAACATGAAAGAGCTACTTAAAATTTCTAATTCTGATTTCAATTTGAGTTATACTCCATTCAAAACCAAAACACCAGCCATGATCTTATTCGACTATATTACCTTCTAACTTCGAATTCTCTACTGGCATGACTTCAACTACATAAAATCACTTAAAATAAAAGCAACAGTTTCATATGCAACAAACCTTTAAATCCCACATCATCATCATTAAAAGGACAAAAACGACACCGTACCTCACCAACCTGCACAGCCTTATCCTTGCAGGATCGAACGGTCAAGAATTGATCCACGTCAAGCTTCTTGTTGATAATCCCAACAGTAAAGTAAATGTTGCCCGATGGCGGCAAATCAACTCTAATTTCATCGACGGTGAACCACAGAAAGAAGAGCCTCTGCACCTGAATCCCTTTTAAATCCGTGATGGAGCCGATATTGAGTTTCCCGGATATCTTTTGCTCGTAGTAAACTAGATAATCGAACTGTATGTAACATGGCTTCTCAAGGGTGACCTCAAATTCACCGTCTTCTGAAAGCGTGTAGCCTGTGACGGAGTCCGGTAAAAGGCCGCTGGGGAGGCCGTACTTGACGAGAATTTCGTACACAGTCGAATTTGGACCAAGTGGTGCGGCGGCGGCCGTTGATTCGTGGGATGAAGACCACAGGATCACAAGAGAGAGAAGAAGAAAAAAGTAGTTGGACGCCATTTTTCTTGCTATGGATTGGTGACGATAGATCAAGTTTCTTCTTTGGAGGTACTTGGAAGTTGAAACACTGTAAACACAATTTCAAGGGAAAAGTGTTCCACTCCTTTTTTATTTTTCAGTTAAAAAATATTTCTTTGACCATAAAGCATCTCCAATGCTCAACTTTCAACATTAATTAAATTTGAACACGTGTCAAATAATGAATGGAATGTAAATCCATGTAATATAAATGTCAAAAGAGAATACTTTAATTTGGAATGCACATCTCCAAGGCATCCCTTCCGAAAGCTTAAAATAGGTACAGTTGGATTTTATTTTATTTAATAATAAATAAGCTAAAAAAATGAAAAACTAAATTCTGGCAACTCCACAAGTTCTCTATGCAGCCTTTAGAACAAAATTGAGGCCTTATTCATTTCTCTACACAGCCTTCACAAGTTCTTCATTTCAAGCACACGCAGAATCCACAACCTCCAATTTTCAGTTCCTCACCACCCAATCTCTTCAGTTACACCTCGAGGTTATGTTTTCTCGTCTAGAACACAAAATACCGTCAAAGGAGGCTCAGTCAATTGTTGTTACAGGTAATCATAATTTTTAATTCATATTTTATGCTCTTTTAATTGTATCAAACAATAGGTGAAAATATTTTATTCATGTAGTTCTCCTCATGTTTGATATTATGGTTTAATAATTGTGATCAATTTTTTATTATGTAAAAAAACTCTTATCGTATTGATGCAGAAAGAATGACATCAGAAGACTCTAATTCACACTCAATGGGTGGATCATCGAGCAGCGAGTCTCTTTCACTTACTAAGGGATTGTTTGAAGATGACAATTTTGATGAAGATGGGCCAGACGTGGTTCAAATTGGTACAATACATGTTCCATTTATGATTTCCTCATTTTTAGGTCCCCATGGAGGCTCAACGGTTGGCAGGGCCTATATTCGTCGTGATAGGAGAGATCGTCATGAATTAATTGTAAACGACTTCTTCAAGGGCGACAAGTCAAAGTACACCCCAAACAAATTTCGACGTCGATTTCGCATGGATATTGAATTATTTGAACAGATTTTGCAAGCTGTAAATAATTATGATGATTACTTTACACAGAAAGTTGATGTTGTTGGAAATATAGGGTTGAGTCCTTTGCAAAAGTTATTAGTAGCAGCAATACGCATGCTTGCGTATGGTTGTTCAGATGATTTCCTTGACGAATATGTTCAAATTGGTGAAAGCACTGCGATGGAATGCCTAAAGAGGTTTTTTGATGTTATAATAGGGTTGTTTGAAGAAAAATACTTAAGAAAACCAAATAAGCATAATATTTCATTGTTATTAGAAGAAGGTGGAAGTCGAGGGTTTCCAGGAATGCTTGGTAGCCCAGATTGTATGCATTGGCATTGGAAGAATTGTCCAATTGCTTGGCATGGGGCATATACTAACGGTTTTAAAAGAGTTCCAACCCTTATCCTTAAGGTTGTAGCTTCACAAAGCTTATGGATTTGGCATGCATTTTTTGGTATGGCAGGTACCAACAATGATGTGACCGTTCATGATATATCTCCTCTATTTGTTGATATAGTTAACAATGTTGCGCCATCGTGCGATTTTTTCGTGCAAGGTCATCACTATAATATGGGGCACTACTTATCTGATGGAATTTATCCTCAATATGCTACATTGATCCTGACCATTTTACAACCATCTTCTATGAAAGAGCAAAGCTCCAAGGATCTACTCGGAAGGATGTGGAAAGAGCATTTGGTGTGTTACAAAATCGTTGGCATATAGTAAAAGGTCCAGCACGTATGTGGATTGCAACAGACTTGAGAGAAATAATGAAGACATGCATAATTTTGCATAATATGATTATTGAGAATGAGTGTAACCAAGTGGATGATGTTACCAGTGGAACATGATTTTTCGTATCTCATGTCAAGGATGGTTGGTAGACTGAAACAAGTTCAAGACAAAAGGGCGCATAAAGATTTAAAGTGTGATCTTATTAACCACATGTGGGAATTATATGGTGGTCAGAATGACGACTAGCATTTTCTTATTTAAAATGAACATATTGTAATGCATTTGAACGTGTTTGATTAAATATTAATCTATTATTTTGAATATTTGCTATCATAGTCAATATAACTAGTTTTTGACATTTTATATGAGCATATGAGTTATATTTCTCCATCTTTATATTTTGAGAATCTTAATCAAGTGTGTAACTTTTAATGATAAAGGTTTTGATATGTGAATCATGCACCTTCAAATATTTTTAAATAATGATCTTTGAGAAGTTGATATACCATTTGAAGGCCAAGTGAGTCTAGTATTCAATAATCAAA